TTTGCCCTTACCTCTTCCCTCAGAAATCTCTTACCTATATCTGAACCTTGAAGTTTGCTTCATCTTCCTTTTGTTGAAGAAATTTTTCCTTAGACTTGAATTTTTCCTTGCTTATTGCTTGTGATTTATTCTACCCTCGATTTTACCTTGTTATGAAAACCAAGCAATCGATCCCTAAAATTATTTAAAAAATGAAAATCGAATTGAAGATATTTCTAGACACTGGCTGCTAAAGCCTCAATCAGTTTTTCATATGCAGTATGGTCACCAAAGTCCGAGTTCGCAGTAAGTGGAATGCTCCTATAATCCAGACCACATTTATGCTTGATTGATTATTTTGTAGTCCCAATTTTTGATTGATTCTGTTATTTGCACACAATGTTTCGCTGGACCTGGAAAAGATATACATATCCAGGGCAGGCAGGGCCTGATTGGTAAATTATAGAAATTGACACGATTCTGTTTCTCTGGAATTTTTAGTAGGAAAAGCAAAACAACGAGTATTTGTCCAAATATATTTTTTATAATTTGATTTGATTAATGATTAGTTCGGATTGACTAATTGATCCCAATTATGAGAGAAGGAAAGAAAGATTCGTGGCCAGAGGAGTAAACCCAGGAATTAATTTTCATCCGTTTCCACCTTTTTCAAATTCTTACACTTAGGGCAGGTATTATAAAACTGCTTTGACAGTTAACTTGAAGTTAACTTTTTGAATTACATGTAATTCCAGAAGTTAATTTTAAGTTAACTCTCAAAGTAGTTTTATAATACCCACCCTTAATGACATAAGCTTCTTCTATATTGATTTTTTATTTTCTCATATGGCTTTAATCGAAATGGGGGTTTGGAAGTACACTCGAGAAGTTGAAGAAAAGGCGGATTTTGTGTAAAGGTGTAAGATTTCTTTTATTAAAAAATATCAATTGAGCGCTTTCGGCCTATTGAACCAAAAAATTAAAAGAAAATAAAAAAATAATAGGAAAAACACTATATTGAAAAAAGCCTAAATAATGTAATTTGTCGTTGGTTATTGTTGAGCGCTCCTGTTTGTTAGTTTTTTACCCTTTGCCTGTGGTGTGTGTATTTTATTTCATACATTTGGCATTTAACACCAAAATCATTCCTCTTTTCTGTTTCTTTGGCTCCATTATACGAACCTGACAAGACCGACCCTGAGGATGGCCCTTCAATAGCGATCGGTTGATATTTTTTAATAAAATAAATTTTACACCTTTAAAGACAAAATCCACGTTTTCTTTAATCGAAATGTTCAATTGCCACATAATTCGATTGTCCCATAGAAGGTATCATTTTTATAAAACATCTTGTATGTCATCTTCTCTGAGTCAAATATACTCTTCAACTTTATGGTTTAAATTCTTGGTTTTAACTTTAACAGTTTATTGCGCCGAGAAGTCAATTTACTTGAGAACCTATTTGTAAGTAATGCTTTGATCAGCTTTCCTCTGGCTCCTCAGCTTTTAGTTATAGTTGAAGTTTAGTAAATGGATTAAAATATTCGCTCTAAAAATCGATTTACCTCCCACTTTTTTGTCACAAGCTGAAATTTTTAGGGATCAAAGTTCATGATAAGGTAACCCTTATTCCGAAGGTTAGACAAAATTAGACTGCACAAAAGGGCACGATCAACAAAAATCGGGATATTGATATCAACATATAGAGGAAAAACTACTTATTAATTGGTCCAATGCACAATCACAATAAGGTTTTTGTAGGGAGTATTTTTTCATGTTCATTCAAAGAAAAAAATTACCATTAGCTCTTATGGCCGAAAAAAACTTCAAAAGTAAATATCTGTTTCACTTCTGTATTGACCAGATAACATTGCAAACCACATATTCTAAATTAACAAAGACATAACAATAAACAATAAGAGATGTCAAGGGTTTATGGGAGAGCAAAATCTGACCGCCGAGTTTCTTGACTCGCTATGCATCTCTCTCAGTGTTGATGCGTACTGGATCTCTTCCACTGTGTTACATTATTTTGTACAGTGATTATTAATTTATCCAATTGAAGGCGAAGAATGTTTTATAGGGTGTATGGTGTATTACTCATTACTTCATAATTTGCCTTTGAGGAAAATAAAAAATAATAAGATGAATTATATCATATTATCAATCTACATGTACAGGGTGTTTCACGAACATCGTAACACAGGCGTTTTAGGTTAAGGTGGATAGAAAAAAAAAAAAACGCTCGGATACGTCAAAATTGTATTCAAGAGGAAAACTTTTCGACCCCATGGGGTGGGGTGACTTTAAAGGTAAGCACACACTAGCCGGAGCCGTACGAGTCGCACCGGGCGCAGGTGCCGTAGCAAAATATGGTTTATTTTCAAACTTCATATAACAGTAATTTTTGTGATCATTTTGACAAGGTATAAGTGTCACTTCAATGACTTTCAGCTTGAGCGGCGTATAAGTGTTATACTCTGCCGGAGTATAACGCTTATACGCCGTTACACATGTTTTTCCATAGCGATTTAAGGTAGTTTACCTGTACATACAGGTATAGGTGCTTATAAAGGTGATCCTTCTAAATATGAATGTCATCATTTAAACTAAAAATTGTGCACTATTTGGAATAAAGATCGTTTGAAATAGTATATTGTTGTATTAGGAGTAGAAGCTTTACTTTTTTGTGCTGAAGCAGTAGGTTTGCGAGCCGATCGTAGTGAGGCTTGCAATACTGCTGAAGCACAAATAAGTGCTTCTACTCCGTATGCAACACGCTATTTTTTCTCCAAACGAATGGATTAAGCTTGGGGGCAAGTGAATGGCTGAGCGGCAGTAAAAGTACGAGCGGCACTAAAAGTACTTCTACTGCCGCTCCAGCGGCACTAACAGTACTTTTGCTGCCGCTGGTTGCCAAGCAGCATAGAAATTAGATTTCTACCACCTCGACAGGTGTTAACCCGCTGGATTTGCCTAGCAGCATAGAAATCAAATTTCTGACATCTTGACAGGGGTTAACAAAGTGACGTTTTTCTGACGTTTGGAGAAAAATAAAATATTGTATTTCATTCGGAGTATAAGTATTCTTCATGTGACTTGCATGGATTTGATTCGCCTCGTTGCGCTCGGCGTTCAAACTACCATGCGCGTCACATAAGTATTTCTTATACTCCTAATAAAATAAATATCTTTTACATTGATTTCAATGCGGTATCGCAAACCATCCGGAGCCGCACGAGCCGTACTACCGCAAATGCGACCAGGATGTTTGGCAGTGAATCTTTTTTCGGTTCGTGCTGTTCGTGCTGATGACGTATGTGCCGAATCCATTTAGGGAGCGCGCCCAGTCGAATCGTTCGATTCGCACGGTGGTAATTTAAGGGTAATATTGTTTTCTTTTTCACTGGGTTGGAAAGTGTATGGGCTTTGCTATGGGTCAGCAAAGTCTTTGAATAATTTTTGATTTTCTACAAAATAAATTCTTTCTTTTTTTTCTTCCTCTGCGAGTAAAATCATCAAAATGTATCAGAATTTGTATCACCAATTACCCTATAAAGATTCTCTTACTACTGGTAGTATCAGACCTATGTATCAGACACTGTCCAGCATAGATATTTTAATGATTTCTGAAGGTAACATATTTAAATCTGTGGCAATGGGTAATAATACAGCATCAAGTTTTGTAGCTTTGATTATACTTTAAGGTTCTTGGAAACATCACATTGTAATGTGGGAGAACTTCAAGCGCTGAACATTTTCATGACATTCTAGCCATTGCCATGTAATTTGGAAGGTTGCTGTTATGCTTTTTTTTCTCAATATCCTTCAGCTCTTTTCCAATACCTACATGATAAAAATAAATATCTCACCTGCTCAGGGCCGTAGCTAGGGGTTAGTCATGGGGGGGGTTGGGCAAGAAAAAATCGGATTAATTTAGAAACAAAAATATTCCTATTTAAAAAAGTTTATATGATTAAATTTCGTTTTTTTGTGAACTGACATTAGAGCTAAACCTTTCAAACGTTCGTTCACCATTGAATTTCTTAGCCAAGATTTTAGGCGTCTTATGGCCGTTCGAACCGACCATTTTAAGGAAGGATAATCAACGTTTGAAGTGACATTTTTACATGTAATAAAGTCACTTTAAACGTTGATTATCGTTAAACCTCCCTTAAAATGTTCAGTGCAAACGGCTATTAGAGTCGAGAAAGATCTCTCTCAATGGCCGTTCTTGGCAAATGGTTACCATTAGCAATATCAATATTATTCCATTTCTTTTGCCACATATCTAATTCAGCCGTGAATAGAGAAAAAAATTTGTCATATAATTCACAAATAGGTTCAAATATTTCAAGTTCAGCGGCCGAACATTTTTTTGTGGTATGAGTACCTAACTGTACCTAAGTATGAAATGGATTTGTGATGCTTAGAGAAACAATCTTTTAACTCAACTATAATATGATCTATGAACAGAATGTAGAAATTTTTAAGGTAGTACTGCTCAGGATTTTCAGCCGGAACATTTCCACGCTGAGTTTGGCGACTTAGTTTTTCAATCTCGCCACCCATACCTAAAACAAGCTTTCTTGCTTCATTATAAATATTTTTAAAAGATTGATCGCATGACGCATGTGTCCCTAGATAAATGGCTCATTGCATTAAATCAACATGTTCGACACAGGCTACCAGATCTACATTCACCTTTTGCAGATTTTTGGTTTTTTTGATACGCACACACATTGATTATTTTCATTGTTATTTTATACTTATTTTTTAATTTTAGTTGTATATTTTATTGGCGATTATTTTTTAAGAAAAGAATATCATGGGGGGGGGAGGGGTTTGAACCCCCTAAACCCCCCCTTATATACGGCCCTGCACCTGCTATTATTGTTATGATACAACACGGAACAATACAAGGTGCAGTATGAAAAAATCTTGAACTCTTAGATACTTATCTACTTTTTTTTTTTCAAAGCGGATACTTCAGGTTTTTATAATCGAAACATTATTTTCAGTACACCACCTCTAACTTACCTGAGTGAAAGCAGAATACGTCGTGATGAAAATACTACTGGTGGTACCCTAACACAAGATTTGATTGGTAATATTCGTATTAAAGGCCTTCGTCTGGAAGTTACCCCAAAAGACGTCGATTTCGATGAAAATGGTGTGCCTACCGTACTTGCTGACCGTACGCATACCATAAGATTGTTTGGCGAAGGATTCAATGAGGGCATGACTGTGACCTTCACTACAGAAAAAGGTCTATTTGGTGCTTCCTGCGAATATCCTGTAACTAAAGGTTTTTCAGTAAGTATGAAAAAAGCTCACAACTCACCATTCCATTTCCATTGTAAGGTTTCTGTATATTAGTATTATTCCACAAATACCAGGACTAGAATATCTTAATTACCTAAATAAAAATTGTGCCTAAGCATTTCCATAGAATCTATAAGAAGCCATATTAATGGTCAACTAATGGAAATTTCCTGTAATTTTGTCAGATATTGATTGCCAATCAATGGGCTGTTGAACCTAATTTTTTGTTGTCGGATGTGTATTGAAATTAAAACTACTAACACGAAAACAATCACTCGCCAATCAGTGGTTGAATTAATATTTTGGGCTTTAGTTGTGCTGGAAATAGTAAAATTTTGCAAAAACTGTTTTTGAGGAAAAAGTCATACTTGTGAAGCAAAATACATGACTGAAATTTTCCAAAAAAACCCGCTACATATATTCTTGTACCTAATTCTCAAAAATACCCGATTTTTTTTTAAATAAAATACCCCTTAAATATATTTGAGTTGAGGAATTCCCCATTTTGATTATATATATATGTAAGTATATATATATATGTATATATACAGGGTGTCCGGAAAGTCAACGATAATACCGAAAGAGCTGATGGAACAACTCATTAGCATCCAGAAAAACATAATATGACCTTAGTAAAAAATCGATGGTTTTCGAGATAATGTCACTTTAATAAAATTCGTTAAAATCGTCCTGTTGGATCAGATTTTCGAGTGTCACATTAAAATTTTCATTATTTTCAGATTCTCTATTCAGTTTTGCAATGGTGAGTAAACATTTCATTTGTCATAGAACAACATTAAAAGTCAAAGTTGAAAACATTTACTAAAAAATCTTTTTAAAATGAATACTCCTGATACTTCACTTTAAAAATATTTTTTAGTAAATGTTTTCAACTTTGACTTTTAATGTTGTTCTATGACAAATGAAGTGTTTATTTACCATTGCAAAACTGAATGGAGAATCTGAAAATAGTGAAAATTTTAATGTGACACTCGAAAATCTGATCCAAGAGGACCATTTTAACGAAGTTTATTAAAGTGACATTATCTCGAAAACCATCGATTTTTTACCAAGGTCATATTATGTTTTTCTGAATGCTAATAAGTTGTTCCATCAGCCCTTTCAGTATTATCGTTGACTTTCCGGACACCCTGATATATATGATATTTTAAAAACACAGTAAAATATTTATTATTACAATTTTTATTTTAGGCGGCGTCAGCGACGTCCAAAAAAATCACCGGATGGCACAAATTTGGCATTAACAACCTCTGATCGATTATTTGCCATTTTATGTTTTCATGCACTTCAGGGATTAAAATTACCCTTTTAATGCCTGTTTTAAGGGAGTAAAGTGGGTCTTTTAATCCTCAGGTTGAAATTTCACTTTATTGCCCAGGAATTAATGAAACGGGGATTAAAACTATCAAAAGTACCACTTTAGTAGTACATTAGTAAGTACATAAAATAGTGTTTACACATCGTTCTCAAGACTAAAGTGTTCTTTAATCCCTCGACAAATTATAGCCCTCTATTTGATTGGGCTATAAACTTCTTGTGTAAAAGTACCACTTTAGTCCCTAGGTATGTATGTATATAATGTACTTTTTTTTCATGGGAATATTATGGAAATCAATGTAATGGCAACCTGCAACGATCCCAAATAATCGATCAAGGAGTGTTTATGCCAAACTCAAGCCAATTCCGAATTTTCGAAATCGTTTCAATATTATTTATTTAGGAGCAAACAGAAAAATAATTTACAACTTTTTCTAAATGTCTCGCTCTCACTAAATGCTAAAAGTTTAGGACAAATACAGTCTATAACTCGTTCTATAATAATAATTATCAGCTGCATTGCAAGGTTGGCATAGTGAACGTTTAATATTTATTGAACAAACACTTAATAGTCTTAATTCATTTCTTTAGGTTGATGGCGCTTCACTTTATGATACCACAAGCATACAACTTAAAGTTTTTCTGCCTCCCCTTACAGGAACAGACGAGGCTTTTTATATTTGCGTCAAAGACGGTCCATCCAACTCGTTAAAGCCGTTCGTTCATCAAGGTGACGAGCCCTGGCTTCAAATGAAAACGTATGAGGATTTATTACCTTTATGGGCTTCCATATTTATTATCCTTATATGTATATCGTTTTCCTCATTGTTTTCTGGTTTGAATTTAGGTAAGCAACAACTGGAAACTTGACATAGATTGATTTATGCATTAATTATGTCTTTTGTAGGTTTGATGTCCATGGACAAAACAGATTTGAAAATTCTCTGCAACACTGGTACACTTAAGGAAAGAAAACACGCAAGAGTAATTCAACCAGTACGCGCACATGGTAACTACCTCTTGTGTTCAATCCTGCTGGGAAATGTACTAGTTAATTCAATTTTCACAATCCTGTTGGACGGGTTGACTTCTGGATTGATAGCTGTTATTTTTTCCACATTGGCCATTGTATTGTTTGGTGAAATTTTTCCTCAAGCCGTATGTTCCAGACACGGACTCGCCATTGGTGCCAAAACAATTTACATTACCAAGTTTGTGATGTACATTACATTTCCATTGAGTTATACCATCGCCAAGTTTCTGGATTGTGTGCTGGGAGAAGAAATTGGCAATGTGTACACTAGGGAGAGATTGAAGGAACTTGTCATGGTAAGTTTTGTTCATTTTTGTATTTATTTCCAGTGCTTTACATTTGGCTTCACATATTTTTTCTTTTCAAATTTAAAATACATAAGTCTTCATGACACTGATGTTTCTTTAAATGCGGCATACTCAGTTTCCCAGAAGGTTTTGATTTTTTTTTTCTTTTAATTGGCCAGTAATTTTTTTAATTGGAATGGGAAATTTGAAAACCAAAAAAACTCAAGTACTTTCCTAAAATCTAGTTCTGTAATGAAAAATATATGTATTAAGTCTACAAAATTAAAATCAATGCTGCAGTAAAGCCGATAAGACTGCTAAATGTTTTATAATATTTTCAATAGTATATGAGTGCTGTTGAAATTTAGAGTTAATTACCAAGTTTATTTTTATAAATGATTGCTATTTTGGGACTAAAGTGGTTGATAATGGTCGATATTTTCAATTTTTTATCAACTTTGGTTTTAAACTGGTTTTCATTTTGCTTAGAGGTGATGACACCTCTGCGGCTTATTACATATTTATTCAGGGTGTACCATTTAGAATGAGGCTAAATATCTGATGCCAGGGTTGGTAAGTGCTGAAAATGTTTAAAACACACACAATCAAATTACGCGTCCGAGCGAATTTAAAAAAAATAAAAGTGACATCAGATATTTAGCCTGTTTCCTTTCAAACGGTATACCCTGTTGGATATAAAGTTTCCCCTTAGGAGTTGTCAGTCACTTACTATCTCATACTGATTCTAATAATAATATAGAACTATTATTATCAAAGTTACAAATATGGTTTTCACTCTGATAATCTTCTAGTCCATTCATAGCTTTCAATTGAAATTCTTAATTGGTCTGCAACATGATCATATTAAATTATATTAGCTGGGATATGGGATATATAAGTCAGTATAATAAAAAAAATTAAGATAAAGTACATAGTACATAGTAATTAACACAAGAGACAGGCAATGTTTTGTCGATTTAGAATTTTTGTTTCGAAATGAATTTAAAATTTTGATATATCTTGTTCTTGTACCCATGTATATTTTTGGGTAGTCTATTGGAGATTTTGGTGCAGGAAAAGCGAATAGTTTTTTGTTATAGGCAACAAACAGTATTGGTGCTGCAATGCTCTGGAAATTATGTCCAACTGATCTCAGTTGTTGTTCTCTGATTAAAGTTTTTCAAGCAGTGATTGATATCAATGCAATCATTGTGGTTTTCATAAGTCCAAGCAGAAATCATTTACTAAGGATAAGTAGAGCAGAAATAATAATAAGATTTATGAGGGTTATTCTGTTTGAGCTTCACATTTTGCCAGTGGTAGAATTTATTGAGAGCTTACAGTGCTTGTGCTGTTTTGTTACACAGCTTTAGCAGCACTTGTTGTGCAATACAAAAAGCATCTGAGGCAGAGACCTTCGTTTTGATGTTCCAATGAAGCACAAAAAAAACGAATATGCCTACCCTTGTGTGTCTTGACATATCGAAGGTCAAAGGTCACGAAAATCGGCTTTTCGCGAAAATCTGATTTCCAGTGCATCTGACAACCCAAAATAAAACTTTTGTAAAATAGTATTTTCTACAAAATTGTTCATATACATTTTTTTGTACGACTAACCGTTTTCGAAATATAGCGTGATAAAGCGGGAGCGCGCTTTCAAAATAGATGATACTGTATTCTACAGGGTGTCCTCGTTCAACTGGTCAAAAATGCGAGGGTATATACAGGAACCATAGAGAAGTAATTTGAGATGAGACACCGATGGTCGGAAGTGCGTCGTTTCCAAAATACAGGGTGTTGAAATTTAAACAACCCCCTTTCATATCACCTGAAGGGCTAATGTTAGGCTGTTTAGATTTCCAGGGATTATTGATGTAGGAATGAAATTCGTATAATGCACTCCCGTTTTCTACCTGGAACCATCCAAAAAAAAAAAGTAAAAACTAAAATTTGAAAAAAAAAGCAATTTGTTTCAAATTTTACTTTTTTTTTGGGTGGTTCCAGGTAGAAAATGGGGGTGCATTATACGAATTTTTAAATATCATTCCTACATCAATAAATAATCCCTGAAAATTTGAACGGCCTAGCATTAGCCGTCTAGATTCTAGATGATATGAAAGAGGGTTGTTTAAATTTGAACACCGTGTATTTTGGAAACGACGCACTTTCGACCATCGCTGTCCCATCCCAAATTACTTCTCTATGGTTCCTCTATATACCCTAGCCTTTTTGACCAGTTGAACGAGGTCACCGTGTATAATACAGTATCACCTATTTTGAATGCGCGCTCTCGCTTTATCACGCTATATTTCGAGAACGGTTGGTCGTAAAAAAAAATGTATCTGAACAATTTTGTAGAAACTACTATTTCACGTAAGTTGGGTTTTGGGTTCTTCGACGTCAGATGCACTGGAAGCGGGATTTTTGAAGAAAAAAAAAACCGAGTTTCGTGACCTTTGACCTTCGATATCTCAAGACGCACAAGAGTAGGCATATTCGATTTTTTTGTGCTTCATTAGAACATAAAAATGAAGCTCTCTGCAAAAATTCAGCTTGTTCGGCCACATTCCGCAGAGGAAGTCTAATTTCCCTGGGGTAGTCGATTTGTTCGTCATAGTCAAGAGTATCTTCCTGAATTTCGACATTGGTACAAGATTGACTTCGACAGTTTCCGCATATTGATGAGCAACGCAGAGCAGCTTTTCTGCAGCCACAAGCTGCCTTACAGTCTTTGGTGCATCTGCACGAAATTGACACTAAGAGCTCCTGCGGAGCAGCATCCTTCAGAGTAGGAATAGGCGGTAGTCCATTTGCACTATTTTTCCAATCCCAATCTTGCGGATCCTTGCTGTTGCCGTACCACTCTTGTAAAGTCCGACAAATACCATTTAAAAGTCACGTGATATTGGTGGCAAAAAACGTATGTTCTTGATTATGTCGTTGATATCACCTACACAAAGCTACTGTTGGTTAATTACTATTAAATTTTAGGATATGTTCCCACTAGCATTTTACAAACGCGTTTTTGAAGTAGTATTGACCAATCAGATGGGAATTTCAATACTTGCAATTGTTGCGAGACTCATTTTGTCGCATCTGCTGTCCGTTGTAATACATTCTGAACTTGAATTGGGTACCCGTTTTCTATTTGCTTCTTTTCGAGTTGGAAAAAGGTTAATATAGTCAAAATTATTAGCTGTGTTGGTTCGTTGTAACATTTTCGAAAATAACTTTGACAAACTAATTGATGACAGTGACGGATTCTATTTCAGGTAAGAATATTATGAGCAATAATTAGACACCAATTTTTTTGTCAATTTTACTATCACCGCTGTTTAAGATGTATTCAACAAGGATAGAGAAAAATCACGTGACTTTAAAATGGTATTTGTTGGACTTTACCTGATGATAGGCTAATGACTATTTGCACCGCTATCACTTAAAGGATGTTAAGGGATATATAATTTAAGTGCAGCTTTTGAATGTGACTTTTGTTCCTACGAGAGTCACATTCAAAGCTCCACTTGGATTAAATATCCCTTAAGTTAAAGCAGTGCAAATGGCCGTAAGCAAGTGCTGTCGCGATGCTTCTTCAGTAGGTGGCAACGAGGCAAGATTGCAAGCACTCTTGCATATTCATTTCGCAAAACATTGGAACCTGTATTCGTTCAATGAAACGATGTCAGTGCTTTGCCCGTCCAAGGCCTTAATAACAGCTCTCCCGGCTGTGTCGATCAAGTTTGCAGTAGCATCTGGGTTCCTAAAGATGGAAACTGTTTTGCACAGCTCAGGATTTTTTTGCAGCAGTGTGATAAACTTCTTTTTTCCCTGCTTGAAGAAAGCCGACGTTGTATCGCATCTACTGAAGGCATGGATAAATAATATGTGCTCGGCAACTTCTTTTGAATGTTTAAAACATTTGGAAAAGTAAATTATGTTCTGTCTTTTCCCTTTTCCTGGTTTTAGTAGATAAACATTCGATAGAGATGAAGCCAGGGCTGTCTGTTTTTCTAAATTTGAACAACTCTACGCGACTGTTACTCCGAAAGTATGCATCTCACAAGAAAAGTGTAGAGGACCTTTTTTGTAGAGAATTTAGTGAGCTTTCTTTTTGTATAGAACTGTTTTCCGCATGATTGAAATTGATCAAGGTATTGGCTAAAAACTGTTTTTTTTGCACCTTTTCCGCGTCGCCATTGCTAGCGCTCTTCTCGGTGGAGGGGGACAACTTAAAAACATTGTCACGACATATGAATGAAGCGTTTTTTTTATTGATAACCTATTTCACTTATTTAAAGTACTCCTCAGCGTGTTTAAATCCAACATTCAAAAACGCGCGTGTTTTAAAGTTATCGACAACATCAACAACCCGAACAAGTCTAAATGTCAACTTTCTAATTATGGATTTGTCATTTATTATTTGTCAGGAGTAGGTTGTAGATAACGTCAAATAAAATATAACAAGTGTTAAGCTGGATTTATAAACTCTGACGTCCGCGCCCGCGCCCGCGCTCGCGCTCACGCTCAACATAAATGAAGCAGATCACGAAGTTTGATTTATAAACACAAACGCCCGCGTTCGAGTTCGCGCCCGAGTCCGCGCTGGAGATGGCTAAGTTTTATCTTCGACGCTCGCGTTCGAGCGCCTGGCCAATGAAAACAGGTCATTTGACATGCATGCGCAACAACCAAATTTTTAAAATTTTGAACCTTTCTATTGTTGTTAATTTTGTGAGTCTTTTTTTCAAATTTATTTCAAATAAAAATAAATCAAATAAACTATTGACTCTGAGCACAAAATAAACAGAAAAAGAATGAATACGAAAAATATTTTGAGGTTATGTCAAATGTTATCAAAATACGCGGGCCAATCACACTGCAGCAACAAACGACAGTCAAATAGTTTATAAATCGTTTCCAACGCAAACTCGAACTCGGGCGTGAGCGCGAGCGCGGGCGCGGGCGTCAATGTTTATAAATCCAGCTTTAAGGTTTAAAGTCAGGCCTAT